GGACCCTCCACCCCACCCCTACTGCCCCTGCACAGAAGCCCCAGGAAAAGCCGGCACACGACCACAAGCATTAGGAGTGGATGTGCAGGGCTGGAAGGAGAGTCATGTTTCCTTCCAAAATACATTTTCATTGAACGATAAACTTGCCCGTAAATTAAGCAGCACAAAGGAACTCCCCACCGACTCCCGACACCCACACAAGCGCTGTGACAGACTCCGCGCCCCGTGTGTCCCTCCCCTAGGCCTGTCCATCCGCCCACATCGCCCAGGTCGCAGGGCTAGACTGGGCTCACGTGTCCGCCCGAGGCCCTGTGTGGGGCCTCGCCTCCGTTTGCTTAATTCCCCAAAGTGAAGTCGTTCCGTTAAGGGCAGACTGTTAGGGTTCTCCATCCGTCAGGCACAGTCCTTACAGGGCGGCTACTTGGCCCCACGCCCCCACGCGCGGGAGCAGCACCTCCCTGACGCGGGCCCAGCCTTGCACTTTGTCTCAGTGTGGGAGAAGAGGGACATATTCCTGTCTGTCAAAAATCTGCATAATAAGTTTTTTTCCTTAAAGTCTGCATTTTTAAGGATGCAGGAGCAGAGGACCTGAGGCATGGCTGCTGCTGGTGGGAACTGAAGTGAAAGGAGGAGGCCCGGCTGGGGGAGCCCCTGGACCGGGCATGCTCCAGGGCACTCACCTGGCACGCCCAGCTCCTCTGCCAGCCGCCGGCCAAAGGCCTGGGCACAGAGCACACACTCGTCCATGGTGACGCCCCTCACCGGGACGAAGGGGCACACGTCCAGGGCGCCCATCCGAGGGTGTTCCCCTGCGAGAGAAGGGGGCTGGTAAAGGGGAGGTCCCGGTGGGGAACGCGGGGTGGACCCCACCCTCTCTGGCCCCTTCCACACGCACACCAGCCATCCACTCAGACCACAGGAGCTCAGGAAGAAGCAGGTACTCCGGCTAATCCGGCATCTCTGTAGGGAGCCCCACCCTCTCCTAAAAGGGGTAACTCCAAGCTCTCAGAAAGTCTCCGCCTCCTTCTCAAGCCCCAGCCTCGCATGGGGCAGACGGAGCTGCCGGCTTTGGATCAGCAGCACCCCTCCCCCAGAGAAGGCGGCCCCCATGCCCCCTCCACTCAGGCGGCTCCTCTGTTTGAGATAAGCCTCCGTCTCTCTTCACCAATGGGATCACTTGTGCATTCCCTCCCCCACTGTGAGCGGCCAGAGACGCTGCCCTTTTGACCAGCTCCCTGGGTGTCCACCCACCTTTGACCCTGCTGCCCAGGAAATGTGTTTGATTCGTGGGCTGTTGACAGGTTGGGGAGCGTCCTCTCCCAGGGCCTGCTCAGAGCACAAGAGCCTCACTGCTGGTCACACCTGGGCCCCCAGAACGTGGATGGGGCCCAAGGGGGCATCGGGCTGGCCTGTCGGTACCATGCCCCCCGCAAGCCCTGCGGGCAAGGCCGGCCGCCGGTGCTCGGCCCCTCACCTCTGTGCCTGCTCATGTCGATGAGCTGAGAGGCGGCCCGGGCAGCATTGAGGGCCCCCTCCACCACGTCCTCGGGGCGCCCCACAAATGTGTAGACAGTGCGGTTGGTGGAGGGGCCAGCGTCCACGTCCAGCAGAGTGCAGCCCGGGGTCTGTGCCACAGCTCGGGAGATGGCCTCAATCACCTGGGGACAAAAGCCACTCTGTGCTTCGGTCTCCCCATGGGGGACAGAGCAGGAACTGGGGGGCCGTGCCTGTCCTGCCCCAACCCAGACACGGGCATGGAGCTGGTGCCAAGCATCTGGCAACTCCCCAGAGCAGGAGCCCCAGGGAGGAGGAACGAGCACACGTGGAGGCAGGAGCCTGGGCAGAGGGGCTGCCTGGGCCCTGAGAAGGTGATCTATAGGACAGGGTCACAGAGGGTCAGGGCCCCGGCCCCCAGGTGGCCTGCACGGGAGGAGGTGCATGAAAGGTCCGGAACCTTCTGAGGCAGCAGGAAGGCCTACCCAGCTCTCTGTGCCTCAGTTTCCTGTAGGTCACATCAAGGTAACAGCAGTGCCCGCCGTGGGGAGGGGAGGCCACGCCCCACGGAGACCGTCACCCGCCTGGTGGGTCCGCTGGAGGGCTCTTCTTTTCACACGAGAGGCCGAGTGATCTGCCCAGACCCCACGCCCAGATCCAGGCCAGGACCCCTGCCTGGCTGCTCACCCCGCGCCACATCCTTACAGCCCGCTGGTCACGTCCAAGCCCCCATCCTCATAGGGCACGTCCCTTTTGGAGAAAATTATCCCCAAGCCCCACACCAAGCACAACCCTCTCCTGTCTGAGCCCCTGTGCTGCCCCCAGCCACGCCCAGGCCCCTCACCTCCTGGTTGTTCCCCTCCGAGAAGTTGGGGACACATTCCACCAGCTGGGACATGGTCCAGGCCTTGATCCGTTGCTCCTGTCACAGGGCAGAGGCAGGAAGGAGGGACGATGAGCTCCGGCGCTGGCAGGACATTTATGCACCGGGCAGGGCCCTCCCCTGGGCAGGCTTCTCATTAACCACCAGTCACGCGAGGTGGGCTGTGGCACCTGTGCAAACTCAGAGCAGACCAGGGGTGGCCGGGCGTGGCGGGGGTGAGGGGCAGAACTGGGACCCCTGTGGGGCTGCCAACGGAGGAGGAGGATGGATGCTTCCGCCCAGGTGGGGGTGGGCTCCCCTGAAAGCAGGACGTGTGACCTGGACCCTAGGGGGAGGTCCTCATGAGCCATGGCCTCAGGTCAGCCCGGGCTCCAATCCCAGCTAGTGACCCCGTGTGGCCCTCCAAGTGACCTCTGGCCTGTTTCTTCAGGTGACAGCTGGAGCTTCAGGGCTGCAGGGGATCGTGTGAGAGGCCCCAGCCCTGGGCCTACCTCTCAGCAGAAGTCAGCTCAACTGGTCAGGAGGGAGAACACGCGGGTGAGCGTGAGGGCGAATGTGAAGGCGCTGCCCGTGGGGCAGGCACACAGGGCCCAGCTCTCCGGGCTGCTGCTCCCTGCAGCCGAGGGACCCCCACAGGGGGCGACACACCCCCGGATAGCAGCCCAGGGCCCTCAGCTCAGGGGGCCGCTCAGGCCGATGCTGCTTGAAACCCTCAGTGATTTTCGAACATGGATATTTCTGTCCCGCAAAGGCCCACCCATCACGCAGCCACGCTGGCAGCACGTGGACCCCCGCAACCCCCCGCCCCATCTGCCGTCCTCCCGGAAGCAGGCGTCCCACACAGCCCTGGAGCGATCAGCATCTGAAGGTACTTCCCTCCTCAGCAGTCACCATGGGGCCAGCCGAGGAGATGCCCGGATCTCTCAGACCCTCAGCCTTCCGGGCTTCAGGAAGCACCCCCTCCAGCAGCTGCTGACGGGGACTGGCAGAGGGAGGAGTGGCTCGGTGAGCCCAGACACCCCCGGAGGCCAGGGACAGGCCGGCCCTCTCCCGCCGCGGCTCTCCCTGGTGAACGCGGGCGAGTGTGGGTGACGGCCGTACTGCCTCCTACTGCGGGTCCCAGCAGCACCAGGCACCCCGCAAAGGCTCAACCAGTGCAGCTCTCCAAACCCCGGCTCCGACACGACGCCAGTCCCTCCCGCACACCCGCAGCCCCGGGGTGGGGTGGAAGTGCCTACCAGATGGCCTTGCCCCCAGCAGAGGCCCCAGGTGGTGGGCAGCCTCAGCCAGGGGAAGCCTGACAGCTGGGAGGGGGTGAGGTCTGTTTGGGCTGAATTGTGATCCCCCCAGTTTGTGTGTCAAAGCCCTGATCCCCAGTGTGACCGTATGTGGACACAGGGTCTTCACAGAGGTAGTTGGGTTAAAACATGGTCCCTAGGGTGGTCCCTAAGCCAGTAGGACTGGCGTCCTTGTGAGAAGGAGATCAGGACACGGACACACACAGAGGGATGGCCACATGGGGACACAAGGAGGAGACGGCCGTCTACACGCCAAGGAGGGGCGGCCTCAGGAGGAACCGGCCCTGTGGCACCCTGCTCTTGGATTCCAGCCTGCAGACTGTGAGAAAATGCGTTTCTGTTAAGCTGCCCCGTCTGTGGTATTTGTCACGGCACCCAAGCTGACAGACAGGGGCCTGAGGAGCTGGGGCTTCTGGGACCAACACCCCAGGCTGTGAGGACCAAGGGACAGGTCACCCCAGCACCCGCAAACGCACAGCAGAGGAGGAGCCAGAGCCCCTCCACTCGAAGCCCAACCCTGAAGGCGTCCTGACTGTGGGGCCCGGGGGGGCACCTGCCCTCTCCAGGCCTCAGGAGAGACAGGCCAGGGGCTCTGTGCTTCCTTCAGAGACGGTTCCGGGCCAGGGCTTGCCCACGACTGGGGACACAGACTCAGGGACGGGACCCAGCATGATGCTGGGGCCAGCTGTTGGGGGTGATTCTGAGGCGCTGACACTCTGGCAGGTGTTATAAATATCTCCTTGAGGAGGCGGCCCTGGAACGCCCCGCCGTTCACAGGGAAAAGCCGTCTCACCAGTGCCCAGATGCTGGCTTCTATTACCATCCTCCAGCCATAGGGACCAGGGCCCCAGGCCCCGGGGCCCAGAGCCAGGCGGGAAGCAGGCTCCAAGGGCCCTTCGCACACGTCGTGCGGGCCCCCCCACCCGGGGTCCTGCCTCCTGAATCGCCTCCCAGGTAAGCCGCCTCCCGGGCCAGCCTCACCAGCAGTACCCACACAGTGGGGGCCCCGCACTTGGTTTCAGGCTCTGTTGCCCCGGCCTTGAAATTCCTAACTTTTGAACAGGGGGCTGTGCTTCCGTTTTGCCCACAGCCCTGCTCTGAATCCTGGCCTCCGGCTCTGCCTCCGGGGAAACCCAAACCCGGACAGGACCTGCTGGCCCCTTGGGAAGAGGGACGAGACCCCAGGAGAAGGTGCAGGCCCTGCAGTTGGGGGCCTCGTTCCAACCGCCCCGGGGCGCCTCCGCCCTCAAAGAGCAGCGGTAGAGGAGCAGAAGCAAACAGACGACTTTAATAGAGTGTGA